ATTTAGATCAAAATCACTCGAATAGCGGAACTTTGCTCATACACCAGATATCTAGATGCGGTTTTCTGCATTGTGTTCAGGAAGGTCCAGGGAAAAAAGTTTACATGGTCTGGTTTGACGCGTTTTTGGAAAAATGCCTTCTGGGCCGGAAAATGCATTTTCCAATTGCATCATAACTTGCACCATTATAGGAACGACTGGAAACACGGAAAAATCGCTCGGAAATCATTATTCTGGGGTTTTCGGGGCTGCCGAACTCGATTCTGGCATTAGAATTACACGGGGGTTGCTCTGTGGGAGTGCGCTGGGGGGTGAATTGGGGGAGAAATGGCAGCGTGCACGAAAGTCGCTCCAAACTCGTTACTCGGGTGGTTTTCGGGGATGCCTAATTCAATTCTGGCATTGGAATTACCCGGGGGTGTTCGAGGTGGCTCTACCGGAGTGCCCGGGGGCTGATTCGGGGGCGAAATTGCAGAGTCCATGGAAATGGCTCGAAAATCCTTACTCGGGGGTTTCCTAACTTCCCTGGACTATAATCAAAAGGCGATATAGAATGGTTTTAAAAATCAAGGCTTGTGAAAATCATCACATGGTTTAACCTAATTAAAGCCAATGCTTCACAAACAGTGTTGCCAGTCTAGTACAATTGTACTAGATCTAGTACATTCTCTGAGAATCTGGTAATCTAGTACACTCGAAACAAAATCTTGTACTTTTTTCAGCGTATGTTTCCATTTGAAGTGTAAAATATATTGGTCAAAAATTGCAAGAGAAATTAAAATAGTTGTTAAAAATTCAGAGATAAAATAGTAGACATTTCTCAAGAGATAAAACATTGTTTAAAAATTGCACGAGAGATCAAATATTGTTCAAAAATGGTTTGAGAGGTAAAAAAGGGTGTTAAAAATTGGTCGAAGTATAAAATAGTATTAGAAATTGCTTTAGGGGTAAAATATTGTTCAAAAATTGCTCTAGGGACAAAAATACTGTTAGAAATTTAATGAGAGATACAAATATTTAATAATTTTTCGAGAGATTAAATAGTATTATAAATTGTTAAAATCGTGTTAAAAAATTGCTCAAGGTAAAATGATATTACAAAATGTTAAACCCTTGTTCAAAAATTGCTCGAGGGATAAAATACTATTGAAAAATTTGTTGAGAAATAAAATATTGTTCAAAATTGACTCAAGAGATACCTACTATTAGAAATTTCTCGAGAGATAAAACATTGTTTAAAAATTCCTTGAACGATAAAATACTATTAGAAAATGCTCGAGAGATAAAATAGTGTACAAACATTGCTCAAATTATAAAACATTGTTAAAAATTTATCGAGAGTTAAAATATGTTTATAAATTTGTCGAGAGTTAAAATATTGTGGTTTGCTAAAGAGATAAAAAAGTTGTTAAGAGTTGCTCGAGAGATAGAATAATATTATAAATTTATCGAAAGATAAAATATTGTTTAAATATAGCTCAAGAGATAAAAACAGGTTTAAAACCTGTTCGAGAGATAAAATAGTATCATAAGTTATTAAAATCTTATTCAAAAATTACTCGAGAATTAAAAAATACTGTTAAACATTTCTCGAGAGATAAAACATTGTTTAAAAATTGTTAGAAAGATAAAAAATGTTAATAAAAATTGCTCGAGAGATAAAATAGTGTTAGAAATTATTAAAATTTTGCTCAAAAATTGCACGAGAGATCAAATATTGTTCAAAAATAGCTTGAAAGGTAAAACAGCTGTTAAACATTGCTCGAGTGATTAAATAGTGTTAAAAATTGTACAAAAAATGTTATACAAACATTTCTCGAGGGATAAAAAAGCTGTTAAAAATTGCTAGAGAGATAAAATAGTGTTAGAAATTGTTAAAATTTTGCTCAAAAATTGCACGAAAGATTTAATATTGTTCAAAAATAGCTTGAAAGATAAAAAAACTGTTAAAAACTACTCGAGTTATTAAATAGTGTTAAAAATTTTGTACAAACATTGCTCGAGGGATAAAAAAAAGTTGTTAAAAATTGCTCGAGAAATTTATCGAGATAAAATGTTGTTTCAAAATAGCTCAAGAGATAAAAAAAGATTTAAAAACTGTTCGAGAGATAAAAGAGTATCAAAAGGTATTAAAATCTTATTCAAAAACTGCTCTAGATATAAAATAGTGTCAGAAATTTGTCGAGAGATAAGATATTGTTTAAAAGTGTTGAGTTCGTGTTCTCTATAAACCTTTTCTTGCTCTTTAATTACCATACTTCATAATTAGAAAAACCTGGTAATTTTATAGAATCTAGTACATTTTTATGAAATCTGGTACATTTTTTAGATAAATCTGGTACATTACAAAAATATATTCTGGCAACACTGTTACAAACCAAAAATTCAATGTCCTAATAATATTTTCGGTCTTTCGTTCCAAGTTAAATCATTTCTCGTTTTCGTTACGCTACGAGTTTACCCATGTGGGCCTCAGTCTCTATAAGGTGGGAACCACCATTTTAGCGTCTCTCGAATTTTCTTTGAACTTTTTCGATTAGGTCAATATATACATTTTGTCTGGGACTCTATATCTCAGATGCATATTCAAGTTTCGATCGAACCAAGATGTTATATAAGATTTTTAATGTGGACATATCTGAGAATTCTTTGCAACTTCTTATGACAAACCCGAGTGTTTTATTGGCAGATGACACCATTGATTCAATGTGTTTAGTGAAGATAAGTTCAGGATCAAAATATACCCCCAGGGTATCTATTTTTGAATCTCAGGGAATAGAAATTTTGAGGGAAGAATGAGACAAAAATACAAATTTTGCGCGTTGCAGATAAAGAGGCAAAACCGGTTTTCTATTCCTTCGAATTCAAGAATAGCTACCCAGATCTCTTACAAACTCAGGCCTATTGAGAATAATATCATGCAATCTATAATTAAAAGTGAAAGCAGTTAATCGCCTGGTAAAGGTCATAACCGAACATGTTTCTGGATTCAATGGGAGTAAACTATCCTGACACCAATCCGCTATGCCATCCAGACACTTTTGTAAAAGTTTGTAGTCATTCGTTAAAGGAACTTCCACCAATAATTTTAGATTATCTGCATACATTAAGACCTTTATATTATTGATGTTTAGAACAATATCATTCAAAAATATATTGAATAAAAGAGGCCCCAAAATTAATCCCTGTGGTAATCTTGATAACTGTTGGAATTTTTCTGACTTATAATCACGGCACTGGACATACTGATGTCTGTCTTAGAAGTAAGAAGTTAACAGCAGATGTAGCTTCGTGCTTGAACCTATGGAGGAAAGTTTTTTGAGTAAGATGGTATGGTTAATTCTGTCGAAAGCTTTAGAAAAGTCAGTCTACTTAACTCTTTCTATCTAGGACCTCTGATATAAACTGTGTAGAACATATAAGATTTGTTACCGTGGATCTGCCTTTCATGAATCCGTGTTGATCTGAGGATATAGATCGGGAGATAAATGATCATAAAAACGAATTCTAATATCAAAATTACATATAATACTAATAGGTTTATAATTTTGAACATGATTTTTATTGCATTTTTTTAAGAACTGCAGTTACACGAGATATCTTCCACTCACTAGGGATAGTGCAAGATTTAAAAATTTTATTAAAAATTGTTTGTAGAGTTGCAAAAATGTATTCACAATCTTTAATAATAAAGGCAGGTAGCAGGTTAGGCCCCATTGTCATATTTGGTTTCAATTTTTTAATAGCCTTGACAATTTCGTCTTGTGATATTGTTTTTATTGGAAAATTTGAAGTCAATTCATTTGCGTAGTTTGTAGATGCTGACTGAGAAGAACTATTAAAGAAATGATCTGCAAAAGCCTGGACGATTGCTTGTGGGTCTTCGATAAAGCAGTTTTTATACTCAATCAACTGATGTTGGTATGGAAAATGAAGAATCTTTAGAATTCATATAGCTCCAGAATTGTTTAGGATCGCTTTTTATATTTCTTTCAATATTTCGCAAATACAAAGTGCGAGCCGATGAGATTTCTCGTTTAATATTAGAGCGAAGGTTTTTAAATGTATTTAGTGCGTCTACTACCTATTGAGTGGATTTATCGATTATGTGGGCTTTTTCTTTTTGTCGTATTATGTTACCATTTAACCACGGCGGATAAGTTCTAGAATTCGTTTTCTTGATAGGAATGTTCTCTAAAAATATCCTATAGTTTGTTGTTCAATAACTGAATACTAATATCTATGTTAGATACATTTTGCAGAAAGCTCCAGTCGATATTGTTTATTGCATTGTAGAGATTTGCTTTTTTGTAATTGAAATGCATATTATCTGATTCACAGGGTATTGGTGAATTTGTATTTGTTGTTGAAATTTCTTTATATACAGTTATAAGTTAGTTTAAACTGGAGTTATAGCAACTACTGTAAAACGTATACTATTAGGTTGTATATATCACCAAAAGTCGCATAATAATATATAATAACAGTATAGTATATAATAGTCCAAGATCCCAAAGCGATCAGATATAACTTATTTTCTAAAAGATGAAACTTTAAGTTCTCAGTAGTGTCTCATTTACTTTGTATACCTGCGTGTTTGTGAAGTTTGCCCAGTGACACCTGGGCAGGTACCAGGTGAGAAAGGTGACTAAAAATAAGAGTTACGTGACTTAAATTTATATGGCTGATTTTTATATATATATATATTTAATAGAATATCATTCTCAATTAGTATCGCAAGTATCAGACACTTTCCATGGACCAAAACTTTTGTCAGACGCTTTAAAGATCCACCAAAAATAAATGAACTTCACTTATTTTTTAATGTCTAATTTTTGAATATGTTATCGAGATAACTATTACAAAATTTTATTTAATCAGTCAGACAAATTGGAATGACCAAAAATCCCCTAAACACAAAAATGATTTGGCCGTGAGTACGAGCGCGAGAGCATTATGCATGCGTTTCAGAGCGAGTGTGACGTCCATAGTAACCCGGTTCTCCTTCTTTAACTCACATTCTGTTTCAGTCTACTGTGTATGTGCCACTTTGATGGGGCATTTGTAAAACCCAGAAATCCACCTTGATGAAATCTTTGGAGAAAGGTTTAGAGCACAATCCACCTGTTCAAATAGATGTTTTATTAATTGACGGTTTCTTTTTGCTACATACCATGAAAAATGTCCCGAAAACTTTTGGAGCTATCTCAAAAAAAAAATGCTTTCTCTCCTTCGATTATAGATTATGAAAGATCTCTTCGCCAAGAATCAACTCAACTAGATTTCAATATTGCTGCTCCTGATCAAGTTAGACCGTCAGATGTTTTAAAAGAACTGAAAAACATCAATTTTAAACAGGCCCTCGTTGATTTCTTTATTCAACACTGGGCATCTGATGAAATGGTTCCTTTTGTTGAGGATAAACGGATATTTATAAATTATAAACAATGTCATTCTTACATCGTTGATAACAACAAAGTTGTATCAGGTGTAGATGACAGTTTATCCTGTCCAGAGCATGAAGAAGCTGACACAAAAATTGTTTTTCATGTTTGTAACATTGATGCTCAAGCACATTTTGTTATTAGATGTTCTGACACTGATATTGCAATAATTATGTTAGGACATATGGATAATTTGAAAAATGATGACTCCAATGTATGGTTATACGCAGGCACCGGAAATAGCCAGAGATACATTAATTTAAAAAAAATTTCCAACATTTGAGCCCATCTTTGTGTAAAAGTTTACCAGGATTTCATGCATTGACTGGGTGTGACTTTAATCCTTCCTTTTTCAAAAAAGGTAAACAAAGACCTTTTAATATATTGATGAAGAAGCATGAATATCAGCTTGCTTTTATGCAATTTGGAAGACCAGAGTCGTTTACCGATGCACACATACAACAGGATATTTTTAACAAAGTACAAAAATTTATCTGCGAAATTTATGTTTCTGGCACACTAATGAAGTCAATTTTCATTATTATTTTTTTAACTAATTCTGGGTATTAATTTCGATTTTTACTTAATTTTAACTTCGTGGATATGCCCTGTATATCGTCAGTTTTATCGCTGTTCAAACTATCGTCGAGGTACTCTGCATGCGCGAGTTTTAATGGTGGGATTTTCTGGTAGTGGAGGGGCACGCGACGACTGAACAAGCTCCGAAATTGAAATAAAATTTTAGTTCCTAATATACCGATTTATTGAACAGTTGAATTGCTTTTACACCGTGAAATCGAATAGTCGAATAATTAATACGATACATTTCCGAAACCCATTTCTAGCCGCGATTTTACCGATAGGTAAATTGTTGTCATTTTTTTTCTTTATAATTTTTTTTTCTTGTCCAAGACTTTAAGCCGTGCTATTTGAAACCGATTTGATTTGATTTATTTTGAATTAACAGTGTTCCGTGTTGAATTAAGAATTGAAATTTGTTTTGATTAAGGAATACTTTAATTTATTCTTGTTAGAATACACCGTTCTTAATAAATTTCATTTTAGTTTATTTAAAGTTTTACCAGTTAAATAATTTATTTTTCATTCAATCGTAAATATATAGTTATAGTTAATTTTTCCTACTAATGGAAATTTCCGTGAATAAATAATAAATTTCATTTTAGTTTATTTAAAGTTTTGACCGTTAAATAATTTATTTTTCATTCGTTCGTAACTATAGTCGTATAGTTAATTTTTCCTACTACTGGAAATTTATGTGAATAAATTATAAATTTCATTTTAGTTTATTTAAAGTCTTAACCGTTAAATAATTTATTTTTCATTCAATCGTAAATAGTCTTATAGTTAATTTTTCCTACTACTGGAAATTTCCATGAATAAATAATAAATTTCATTTTAGTTTATTTAAAGTTTTAACCGTTAAATAATTTATTTTTCATTCGATCGTAAATATAGTCGTATAGTTAATTTTTCCTACTACTGGAAATTTCCGTGAACAAATAATACAGTTTATTAAAAAAACATTATCCAATAAATAATTGGTTGGAACTGTTTGAGAATTGTCTAATGTTTTGATTGGTTATATTAGTAGAATTGCGACGAGACATTTTCTTTTGTTTTATCCTCCGAACTGCAAATTTTAAGAGAATTTAAATACCATCATTCCTTGTCTGAAGCGGCTCGTGATTACGATCACTTCATTCAGAGATAATGTGCTATCCCGGTTATTAGTTTATTTTCCGTCTGAAACCCCTTATTTGCGTTAGTCTCCGTTATTGTAAGAGAACTTAAATAGTATCATTCCCCTGTCTGAAGCGGCTCGTGATTACGGTCGCCTCATTCAGAGATAGTGTGCTATCCCGGTTATTAATTTATTTTACGTAAGATTCCGTTATTTTAATTGATACTAAATAGTATCATTCCCCAGTTTGAAGCGACTCGTGATTACGATCGCTTCACTCCCGGTTGTTAGTTGGTTTTACTTTCCAACCACTAGTGAGTAAACCTCCCGAACCTGTCTCCTCGCATTCTCTACAACCGCATATGATATTTTGCTTTACCGAAGCATTCAATTACATTTGATTGTAAATACCGATTAGACAATTTAACAGTTAATTTTTGCTACGACCGAAATAATACTTCCGAACGAAATAGCAAGTTACATTTTTAACTCAACAACCGAATAGACAACTTAATAATAAACTTTTACTGCGACCGTGATTATTACAAGTATTGATTTCATTTTTTTTCTTTACGCCTGATTGAGACTACTCGAAAGTCATTTCCGGCCGTTTTGTTTGTTAATTTTTGTTCAGGGTTTGTACATATTACCGTGAGGGTGGGCGTTGAAATACATTAATTTATTCCTTTTCTTTTGTAAATACTTTAAAATAATATATGTGTCAATGTTAACTGGCCGTATTACTGGTTAATTCCTAAATTTATTTCCCCCTTATATTTCAGCTAGTGATTAATTCTGTACCAGCCCAAGCAACGATTAAAGCCCGTTACTTGTGGCCTACTATTACCTGTGTCTAAGTGACCTTGACCTCTGGAATTTTTCATCTCCATCTGTAGCTACCCGAGTACTTTCGACGCCGTTTCGAAAGTTCGTGGAGTAAACCATCACCAAAAATCTGGCGCTCGAGAACCGCCCGTAACCAGCGTCATTCGTAAGGAATCGTTTTCTCTGTGGCGAGAAAACCCATTACAACACTTGACGTTGATGCTGCCCTACTTCAACTGTTTTTAAATAATTATACCGTTTCTGATGTAAACGAAGAATTTAATCCAAAAAGTTTAAAAAAATTTGATGCTAGCAATTTACCACCATGCAAAATTGAGCTAATTACATTGCTAGCATATGGAATAATGCAAATGAAAAACAACCAACCATATTTACTCCTGAAAATAAAAGCTGGACGTTAGAAGAAACCCAGTATCACTTTAATTGGTTTGATGGTGACCAATTACCAGGAGACGTCAGTGAAGCACTTCAAGATCCAGGTACTGTACTTTAACTTTAGGTTTACAATTTATTTTTTAAAGGGAAGTAAAAGGCTCAAAATCTGTCGACCACATAAATTTATTAGGTTGGGTTGCAAGCGCTTTCGACCTAAAAGGTCATCATAAGGCAAAAAATTTTTTTTTGTAAGTGAGTAGGTAGGTAGGTACAATCTGCAATAATTATTTAGGATAACAAAACGTTTTTATAGAAATGCTAGGTGTCTTACCACTATGTGTCCACAGAAAAAATAAAGTATGTTGAATTAAAAATTTTAAATTGTAAAAATTGTAAAAAATTGTAAAAATTAGCACATACTGCCTCCCTCATTCGAGGTTGGATACTATTTTCAATTCAACAACTACAATGAATCCCATCATCCTCACTAGTACCCTAAATCCTTTGTAAATCCTTCAACTTTTTACTTGTAATAATATATATATAATAGCCCCTTTTTTCAAAAAATTCATATTTATTATAAATTTCCTTAACCTCAATCTAATGTCTAATGTCAAATTCTTCTTTTTTAAAAAATCAAATGTCACTCTAACTTCATAACACCAGCAAAACTTATTTGTGGCCTCTCCAAAGTCTTGGACATCCTGTCAAATTGTTTAAATTTATACTATAAAATTTGTCACAAAACTAATTTAACATATTCAATTTAACTAATGTCAAATTTAATTATTATTAGCTCAACCATAATTGTAACTACGTGTCTTCCATCATATGTCAGTTGTCAAATGTCGTAAATTCTCCACCATTTTCTCATTTAACTTCACCGTTGGATGACGAAAGTGTCAAGTGAATTTTTCTAAAAAAAGTTAAGTTAATAATTAATGATACCCCTTAAGCTTAAGGGTGTACACGAACGGGACTCCGTCTACCCCATTTGTACTGGGGATAGGGGGAGTAGCGGTATTTCCCCAAAAGTAACACTTTCCACATGGTGCCTTAAGCACACATGTGGAACTTTAAAATTGATCTCTTTCGAAACCACCTTCATTAGATGGAGGCAGTATGTGCCAATTTTTACAATTTTTTACAATTTAAAATTTTTAATTCAACATACTTAATTTTTTCTGTGGACACATAGTGGTAAGACACCTAGCATTTCTATAAAAACGTTTTGTTATCCTAAATTATTATTGCAGATTGTACCTACCTACTCACTTACAAAAAAAAAATTAGGTCGAAAGCGCTTGCAACCCAACCTAATAAATTTATGTGGTCGACAGACTTTGAGCCGTTTACTTCCCTTCAATCTACTTCGGACCACTTTGAGATATGGTTAATATTTGGAATTTAATTTATTTTTGTTTTATATTTGTACTTTTATGTTTTGTAATTCTATTTGTTTTTTTACAGAAGAAGCTGACAGCAACGACAACAACATAAATGATGACGATGAGAATGATGACTCGAATGGACAATATGACTGGCTCAATTATGAAAATTCTAATGATTATTTTGATGATGATAACGATGATTAAGGACAATCAAATACTTTCACTTACTAACTATAGTTATTTTCTTTTTTACTAAAATTATTTTTTCTTAAAAATATAAAAACTGTTATCTTTGGTAAAAAAAAATAAAAATAATTTTTTATAAAACACAATTACTCCGAAAAAAAAATTAATTTACCGAATATATGCAATAAATTGTTTTACTTTAATAATTATTCATTATTACCTTAATGTTGAAATTCATTTTATTTAAATAGAGATGCAAAAATATTTTATCGAAAGCAGTAAGTACTTTTTGGAATATTTAAATTCTTCGCTCTGACACGCATGCGCATAGTGCTCTCGTGCTCGTACTCATGGCCGAATAATTTTTGTGTTTAGGGGATTTTTGGTCATTCCAATTTGTCTGACTGATTAAATATAATTTTGTAATAGTTATATTGATAACATATTTCAAAATCAGACATTTAAAAAAAATAAATGAAGTTCATTTATTTTTGGTGGAGCTTTAAAGCGTCTGACAAAAGTTTTGGTCCATGGAAAGTGTCTGATACTTGCGATACTACTTGAGAATGATATTCTATTAAATATATATAAAAATCAGCCATATAAATTTAATAGTGGATTCGACTGGCAGCATTATTGCGCATTTATCTCGAATTTTGTTGGTGCAGCGTATTCAACTGGTTGTCATGAACAAGCGACATACGTTTCTGAATTCGACTAACTTGCACAAAACGAGGGTAAAGTTAAATTCGTATTTTACTGGTGAATGTATTCGTTCAGAATTCGAATATTTTAGAATCGTACTTTTTCATAGTGCAGCTAAGTGCGACTTCTAGCTGTCAGCTCAGCTGTCAGACCTCTTAAATATTTTCAGATTATTTTTGTAGTAATTTGTCAACCATATTTCGGAAAAGAAGATTTCTGCAAATAAATTATTAGCCATAGATTATTTAATATCAAGCAGCAGTGACAGCAGCTTATTAAATGCAAAGAGAATAAATTATTAAAACCCAAAATTATTGGATATGTAGATATCGTAGCATCATATTCTGAAAAAGAGGTGGTAAATCATGGTAATATAATTAATAATAATTAATACGACTTTTTTCACAGTTCAAAAGAAATTTTAGAGTGAACCGGAGTACTTATATAATGTTAAAGGTGAAATTTGAAAACTCGAAACATTATTTAAAGGAAAAAACCATGGAGGTAGCACCCCCACTTCAGCGGAAGTAGCTATATTATCATTTTTGTGGTATGTCACATTGAGAGCTTTTAACAGAAAATTATATAATATGCAAATTTTCCAGCTTTGCAGGAAATAAATGCGTTATAAGGGATGTAACAGGACGATTTGGAATTGCAGAGTCCACGTTCCATTTACTACCAAAATTTTAAAGTTTTTAAATGATATGGCACCTAGCCTTATAAAATTTCCAATAACCCTTGAGGAAAAGGTTCATATGGCAAACCTTTTTATAAAGTATCGGCTATCGAACACCTTTCAATACCACTTAAGAAAAGTGGGTGTCTGCATTAGAGCAAGAAGGAAACGAATAATACCAGCGATGCCAGTTCATACGATCTGGACAATGCTACAATGCGGTCGAGCCGTACAAACTTGCACTGCTGATATCATTGCCTTCCTACTCGCAACAATGCCAACTCTCTGTTAGTTATATACCAATTTCAACACTCTATTATAAAATTAAAAGTACCTATGTCAACCGACATGATTCACCTGCATTAACTTTACAAGCCATCTGTAGTTAAAATAAACTTTTGGATGTTTTCACAGGTGTGCCTAGTAAAATACATGACTCTCGCGTGTATAAGTTGTCTTTTATTTCAAAAAGAATGCCAGATATTTGTGAAAATACCTGGCATATTATTGGTGATTCTGCATATCCCATAAGAAATTGGCTGCTAACACCTTTTAAAGATTATGGGGACCTAACCAATATACAGAAAAATTATAATAAAAGACATGCAAGTACAAGAGTAAAAATAGAAAATGCTTTTGGAATGTTGAAGTCGAGGTGGAGACAACTTACTTGAACTAATTTTTCTACTGTGTTACATACTGCTGATTTTATAAGTTGCTGTGTTCTTCACGACTTATGCATTCTCAACAACGATGATTGGCAAGATGTACCTTCTGATAATGACATTGATATTCATCAAGAAAATGATCATGAAAATAAAAGGGAACTAAAAAGACAAGGGGAAGAGAAACGTAGTAATGTTTCTAGAAGATTGCCACAAGAAAATATTTAAATCTAATATAAGGGTGTCACCTACAAAATTGTACATATTATAGCTGTATTGACTACTGAATATGATTTTTATAAATAAAATAAAACATTATTATAAATTTTTTATTAAAACATACAGAACCTTAAATTTAGAAAAACAAAATCTGCGAAACAAAAAAATCTCAAGAACTTATGGAAAACAAAACAAAAAATTCTCTTTAGAACTCAAGAAAAACAAAAATAAAAGTAATTATGTTCCTACGAATTTTTAAACAAGTCTTTTAGTAATTGCAATTTCTCCTGGTGTCTTCGTTCTTTATTATCTTCATGTTCTTTATGCTGTTGATCCCGTTGTTTAAGTTTAGCTTCTTGGGCTTTATTAAAGACATCAGTTAATGACACAGACTTTTTCTTCTCAGCTTTTATTATGTCTTTATAATCTTGAATAGTACTGTTTTGATCCTTCATAATTTCAGGTTCAATACTATCATCCTTGCTGGCAATTTTGTTGAGCTCTTCCTCAAATTCAACTTTTGTTCTTTTACTGCAACTTATATGATTATTAACAGTGGCATTTTTTTTCCGTTTTAATACTGTTTTAAATCTATTTTCCACTTGCTGAGCTGTTTTATTATTTTCAAACATATTCTCTTATTCTTCTGCCACGAATTTCCACATTCTTTTCTTGGTACAAAACTTCTTCATGGGCCCAACATCCCCAATATACTCATCATACTTATCCAAAACCATACCTGTCATGTTTTCAGACCATTCTTTGGAGTTCTTTTCCTCAGTCTGTTCTTCGCTCAATTCAGGTTTCTCATTGGGTAAAATATTACTTTCCACAAGGAGTTTCCGATCTAAAGCCTTCATTTTTTCTTCACCTTTAAGTAAATACCTTTAAAGAGTTTCTATAAGAAAATTTTGTCATATCTTTTTAGAGCTGAGAATTTAATTACCTACCAACCCTTAACTCATTCTAGACTTACCATCAGAATCGACTACCGAACATAAAATCTTTCCCTTTTCTACCGCTAATGGGCATTTGTTTTCATCATAAATAAAATCCTTAAATATAATGGACATCTTCACCAAACACTTTGTGGATATAGGAATAATTATTGTACCTTATTCACATGCTTTGATTTTCTTTTACTATACGGAGTACCTTTTAAAAGGAGATAGAAAACTCCGCCATTTTGATCCCTTATTACGTGTTACCTACATCTTGGCGCAATATTTTTAATAGGTGCGTTTTAATCATCCGCTTCTGCTTCGGAATTGTCGGTTTTCTTGTTTTAATCTGACAGGTTAAAACGACTAAACCAACAATTCCGGAAGCAGAAGCGGATGATTAAAACGCACCTGATATTTTGCTTGCTGCTGTCAGTGAATATTATTTTGGAGTCACAGTTTATTGCTAAAGAATCAGTTAGCTCACTCGGACCAGCTGAAAGTTCCAAAATAACATCCACTCCAGGGATACAAATTCAGGATAAGCAGAAGACTGCTGTTTTATTATAGGCGGTTGTCATATATTGTATTATCCGAGTTGCGCAGTGTATAAACTGGAACATTGAGATCAAAAGTGACGACGCAGAGTGAGCGATCTGATTCTTTAGCTATAAACTGTGGCATAGGAATCAAAATGGCCGCGCCCTATTGGCCCTATGTTGGGCGTGTCGGACCTCTCTCTTGCACCGTATAGTAATCAAAGTATGTGACCCTATTACTATATTTACTATGTATTATATTACTATATATACTTTCCAAGTGACAAAATCAAAACCAGTGACAGGTAACAGATAAATAATGACAGCAACTGGTACGCACTTATTGCTTACGCTCGTAAAATAGATCAATTCAAATTTCGAATCAGGGCAGAATAGTCAAATTTCAAAGCGATCTAGAGCATTCTAGTGCGATTCCAGTCGAATCCACTAAACTCAAACAAATAATGATTGAGAGTGAAAGCAGGTAGAAATACGACCAAATCGGAGGCGTGCTTATTATTTTTGAGAGGGTACAATTATTTAAAATATTCATACAATTTCTTTTATTTATTTCATAAAAACTTTGCAATATCGTAATTACCTAATCGTTGTAGTCATTAGTGGGGCTTTATGAAAACGGAGTAATAATTGTGGTAATTATAGTAGGAACCAAATAAATTAAGAATATTAATAAAAATCACAATATATATTTCAAATTAAAAATAAGAAAGGTACCTAATCAGGGGTTGGTTTGGTGACAGAAACAATATTATCAATTTTACTATTTTAATAATGAATTTAACTTTATTTCACAAATTAACGTATATTTATGTATTATGTGGCGGCCGAAGTCAGTAAGGAACTGTCTCTTAAGTTTCTTCTTGGGTTACACATACAGAAGTATTACTTAAATTTTAAATTAAAATCATAATGACGGATATTGCATATCCAATGCAATTGATATTTTTATTTTGTTTTGTTTAGTTATTTTTAAATTTTTATATTTTTTAATCTTTTTATATTATATTTAGTTTTTAATTTACCCAAGAAACCCTAATTGGGTTCGGCCAACATTAAAAGACATTATAAAGCTTAAATTACTATTTGATTGGTACTTAAATCATAAAAGTTTACACGCACCTATCATTTCGGAAATCCCTAAGTAAGATAATTAGTTTGGATATAACCTACAGGATTATGTTTTCTTGACCGCCAAACATAATAATAATAATGTTTATTTCAAATTTATGTAACAATGTACAAATTGATACAATAATAATTAAATAAATAAACATTTGTATCCTGCTGAGACATTGTTCATGTCTGTGTACAGAAATTAAAAATACAAATTTATATAATAATTTCTAAATGGTAATAGTGAATGGTAAAAATAAAAATTATACCTAAATATATAGACTTCTTTTTGTGTACAAATTTTCTTCTAATCTTCAACCTCAGATTCGTCACTGCTGCTACCGCTATCATCAAAGTTAATTATGATTGGTTCAATATTGTGTTCAATACGGTTGTCTACGTCCCACATTTTTTGCTCTTCTTTTAAAACATGCTGAATGCATTTCTTCCAGTCTTCTGCAGAAACATTTTGAATGGCTTCTTGTAGGTAACGTTGCACGTCCACTAATTTAAATGTTCTGTTTTCTCGTGCCACATATCCTTTTACTTGCGCCCAGATTAATTCTATTGGGTTTAATTCGCAGTGGTACGGTGGTAACCTTAATACTGTAATTCCACGACTTAACGCCATTTCATCCACTGCGAATTTTTTATATTTGTCTCTGTGTAATTTTGTTAACTGAAGTAGTTCTGCCTTTAAACTATCTTTTTTATATTTGATGTTTTTATTAATTAACCATTCTTGAATTGCTCGTTTTTTCCATGATTGTTTCGGTAATAATTCTAAATACCGACTATATGGGGCATTGTTCATGACGACGACAGACCCAGGTTCCACAAGTTGAATGATGCCTTCAAACCATTTTTCAAACACCTCCGCATTCATCTCTTCATGATAGTCGCCTGTTTTCTTGGATTTAAATATTAATTCACCATTTGGTAAAAATCCACTGTCGCTTCCTATATGCGTAACTATCAGACGACTACCTTTTCCAGACGGCTGTTTTAACCCAGTTGACAAGCCTTCAATAAAGGCTTGTCGTGCACTTGTTATATGATCATCCTGCCATACTTTTTTGACCGTATGTCCTTGGTTAACCCACGTCTCATCCATGTAGTAAATTTTTTTTTGATATTCCGAAATTCCTCAATTTTTCGGAGATAATTTCTTCTCTATACTATTATTTCCTGACGTTCAATGAGAATGCTTTTCCTGTCAACTTTTCCGTACGTAAATTTCATTTCGTGTAAAATTTTCCTCAAAGTTTCTTTACTCATTTGTGGGACCAATTCATGATCGCTAACTGCCTCCAGAACTTTTTGCAAAGTGGGCAGCTCATTTCTGAAAAAGAAACTGTGAATAGTTGTGCGTATGCTGTTTTTGGCTTCTTCATCAACTGTGATTTTTTTCTTCCGCTACTAGTTTTTGGCGTTTGTACTTCCCCATGAATTTTGTTTTCTCTTAGTATTTTGTAAACTGATGATTTTGGTACACCCGTATAATCAGAGCACATATCAACTAATTTATCTTTTGTAATTGTGGAAGTTAATGATGTTGGAACGCCCGGTTGGTTATTCGGAGGTACATCCGTAGAATTACAGCACATATGCACTAAGTTATCTTTTGGTCGCTGATGATCTCTTTCAAGACAGTGAAATACTCGAAGTACAATTTGTTTTTCACTTAGCGACCGAGACTTCCACCGTTTTACCTTTTTCGACGTTGAAGGTCCTTCAATGTCTTCCATTTTTTGCATAGTTTTAGAACGGTGTAGAAATATTATTATTTAATGTTTAAACACTTATTAGCACTAATATTTTCACCAATTGTTCTTACAACACGTCGATTACTTACTAACTTAACTGTAAAACTTACAATTCACACCGTATAATTCAAAATCCGATGTTACGCTCGTGGTTAGAAATACACTACTGAGAACGTCATCGACGAGATGGATTTTACGCGTAACAGACAAAGACACAACTATCGCTCCGTACACCGATGCCATTAGTTGTAACAAATACTGAACAATCCATAAAATAATTAATTTTAAATGATCAAGAAATGTATAAGTATTACTCATTACTGATTTTTGTTATAATTAATATCTTTTATTAGTACTATGATTTATATTATCTATAATTTGCCACAACTTACAACTCTACTACTTACTCTATTTTGATTCTGCTAAAAACTAGTAAGGTAAAATTGAGATATGACAACACGGTTCACTCTCAATCATTATTTGTTTGAGTATATAGTTAATAGCGGATTCGACTGGCCGCATTAATGCGCATTTAGTTCGACTTTTTTAAGTGGTGTCTGTTTGACTGGCAGAACCTAATTAATTAAAAGTCAATTATTGCATTCGACTCAAATTGCTCGGTACCAAGGCATAGTGAAATTTTGGTTCGACTGGTAGGCGCTCTTGCTCAAAGTTCGAATTTTTTGGAACTGTACTTTTTTTCAGTGCCAGTGTCATTTTGGAGGTTAGGAATTATTTAATAATTTTAAATATGTTACCATCTTTGTTTTTATTATTAGTGAGAATAAAAAATCTTTGAAATTAATAGAGATTTAATTTTTGGTTTGGCAACTATAAATAAATATCGTTAAAAATTTGTTAGAAGCCTGAAATGTCAAGTGCTAACTGTGCCAGTCGAATAACGATAAAGATGCGCTACACCAATGTCGAATTCTAGCTCGTGCTTGCTGTGTGCACTGCTAGATATAAACTTGAATTATAAAAATTCTGCCCAAAATCAATTCAGAACTAAAAGCGCTTTGTCATCGAGCAAGAGCATTTGAGTCGAATCCACTATTAGTAACTCTTATTTATAGCGGATTCGACTCAAATGCTCTTGCTCGATGACAAAGCGCTTTCGGTTCTGAATTGATTTTGGGCAGCATTTTTATAATTCAAATTTATATCTAGCAGTGCACACAGCAAGCAAGAGCTAGAGTTCGACATTGGTGTAGCGCGTCTCTATCGTTATTCGACTGGCACAGTTAGCACTTGACATTTCAGATTTCTAACAAATTTTTAACGATATTTATTTATAGTTGCCAAACCAAAAATTATATCTCTATTAATTTAAAAGATTTTCCATGATCACTAATAATAAAGAGAAAGATGGTAATATATTTAAAAATATTAAATAATTCCTAACCTCCAAAATGACACTGGCACTGAAAAAAAGTACATTTCCAAAAAATTCGAACTTTGAGCAAGAGCGACTGCCAGT